GGATGCCATCTAATCCTCATATATCTGCCTATGCTTCCTGGTTAGATATGCATACGGGATGTGTGTGTGTGTGTGTATGTGTGTATACACACAAACACACACACATTGTCTGTATGCTGCATCAATTATTGAGTTCTAAAGGTTGAAATCCTTCAAGAAAAGAATAAGGCAAATATCACTCTGCTTTCTGCATACAGCTTGAAGAGACCCTTTCTGAGCTCTTCATAAGTCTGCAGCTGAATGTATTTTGCTAATCCCTTTCGATGAAACGCTGAATTGGGTCAAATAGTCATGATAAGGCTTTAAAGAAGTGGCTTAAGTAATGCAGTGCCTGTGACACAAATGCAAAAATGTCTGCTCACTTCTAGAGATCTGAATGTGTGAGCTGTGAGGCAGGGGTTTCATGTAACTGTATTTGTGTATGACTATCGGCATCCTTTGGCATGTATCCTTCAAATGTTGTCCATCTTCATATGATTTCCTTTGCTAGAACCGTTCCGTCAATCTCTGCCATTCTTGCATGCTTTTTTGCTTTCTAAAATTAAATTGCATTTTGGCTGTGTTCTGTGTTTGCCACACTGTAGCTTGGAGTGCCATCCACTGACAGAAACCTATTTTTTAAAAGCATTGGCGGATGGAAAGGATTATTGAGTGAAATATCACTCATCTGGATAAGCCAGTGCTCCACAGATTATGCAGGTTCCCTTTGAATGGTCCTTTTGTCCCTGACATTTTGTGAGAGTAAATTCCATAAAAAGCATTTCCATTTTTCACAGTTTCCATATTTACATCCTGATTTCCTGCTCTCACTGAACCATTCATTCACATGTTTGCTTACCATCCCTATATTTGTTGGCCAAAACCAAATTCATCAATTCAAGACAACTATGCTGTTTTGATCTCCATCTCTGAATTAAGAGAATATTGTGCTCTCTGCATTACAGATTGTTGCATTTAATTTTTCTGCTTTCTTGATAATTCCCTGATTTTTCTATTTTGCTTCCATTTTTGTTGCTTCTTGTTCTTTGCTTGCAAATCCAAATAAAAGGCAAGCCTGGTAAGTAATGCTTTTGCCAACCTTGGCACCTGCATATTGCAATTTTTCTTTCGCTTGTATTCTGTCTATTTTGCTGTATCCTCATAGGAATACAAGGCATTAATTACCCATATGTTTGCAAAGGAGTGGCAAAGTCTGTGTTGTGAGGTTCATTACCTCCTGAGTTAGGGTGTGGCAACAACATGTTATATTATTACAGGCTAACTATGAATTCCAGTTGTTTCCAAAGCATTTCCATGGATAATTCTGCATTATGAATTATGCTGATGGGAGCCATTGCTTCAACTGATATCCAGTTTCTATAAACTTCTTAGTCACTTTCATGCATATTTTTATAAGAAGAGAAAATGCTATTCTTTTGGCCTCATTAACCAGTTACTGTACCCTTCAACCTTCAGCAGGACATGCAAACTTCAGTTATGGAGACAATCTGGCCATTTTATTCCAGAGAAGATATTCAAGTGCTGGATGCATAGGTCACTCAAGGAAATGTTTTGCCACTCTGACATGATATCTAAAGCTGATGATTCTGATAACAAGACAGGATTTAGATTTATAAAAATCATTTTGCACCAGAAAAATAACCCTCGAGTATTTGGGGGTTTTTTTTGTGATAGATAAGAGAAATAATTATCAGAAGGCAATAGTACATTTAAAAATGTTAAAATTATATTTAAAAATTATGATAATTATGATAAAAGTGTGGCAATATTGCATCCTGAGATGGCTGAGAACACAGGATAATAGAAATGGGTGTCAGGAATGGATCTGTGATGTTTATCAATGCATTGGAAGGAAATGTAAATGGAAAAATCCATACTTTTATTAACTTTAAATTTTTAAAAAAGTTTTAATGCTTCTGGTCATTACTTATTTATACAAACATACTTTGTTGTTGTTTTCATTGCATGACTTAAAGACCCACAACAACAATATATATAAAAATAATAAATATCAGAAACGTTGGAGCTTTGTTAAGGTTTCCCTTTGACATTAAGTCTAGTTGTGTCTGACTCAGGGGGGTGGTGCTCATCTCCATTTCTAAGCCAAAGAGACGACATTGTCCGTAGAGGCTTCCAGGGTCATGTGGCCAGCATGACTGCATGGAGCACCGTTACTTTCCCGCCGAAGCAGTACCTATTGATTTACTCACATTTGAAAGTTTTCAAATTGCTAGGTTTGCAGATGCTGGGGCTAGCAGTGGGAACTCACCCCGCTCCCCGGATTCAAACTGCTGACCTTTTAGTCAGCAAGTTCAGCAGCTCAGTGGTTTAACCAGCTGCATCGCCAGGGGCTCCTACATATATACATACATATATAAGACAGATAAGACACTGGGCTTTATGGATCTTGATTATTCATCCTCCTGTTCTGAAAATCCACACAAACTCAAAACACAATCTCAAATCCAAAATGTGGAATGAAAGTGTTCTATTTGGACCCAGGGGTGCAATAACTCCCTATAGGAGTGGCACCCTAAGAGATGTCAGAGGTTGCTACTATAAGGAAATCTTGAAGATTTGCTTGGGATGGACTCATGCGTTCTAGTGGTATGCGAAATAATCCAAAAGGTTTACATGTTCAGGGCAGTTGCTCACTCAGTCCCTCTTAGTTTTAGCGATATGGCATGAAAGTTTACCATTTTTTAACTTAGAGGTTTCCCTTCTATAAATCTTCCCAGGCCTCATTTCAGAATTGCTGGACTGGAGAATCCTAGTATAAAATAAGTCGGAATAGATTGTCCCAGCTCTACCTTCTTGGAATCATCTAATATCTGCTGCTGCTCAAGAAATCTGGGCAAGGAAGCCCTTTTTGCAAAGTTTAAAGAGAATACATTATCTTCCCCCCTCTGTTTTCAACCACTTTTCTTACTGATTAGCATAATCTTTGCTAGACGGGATTGGTATATGGTTTATTGCTATTATCCGCCTTTTCTAAAAGCAAATGATTGAATAGGTAAGTATTTTCTGTACCACTTGTGGGGTTTGAATGCACTATTCCAAATTGAAAATCCAGACAATATTTTCTTCATCTTATACCTGTTGCTCTTCTCTAGCAATTATTTTGCACAATGAAATCAATGAATTATGGTATACCAAGAGATGCTTTTTCCCCCGGTGCTTTGAACAAAGGGATATAAATATTTTATGCTATGCAGGTTTTTTTCAATGTCAGGAGTGACATGAGAAAGTGCAAGTTGCTTCTGGTGTGAGAGAATTGGCCATCTGCAAGGATGTTGTTCAGGGGACAATCAGATGTTTTACCATCCTGTGGGAGGCTTCTCTCATGTCCCACATGAGAAGCTGGAGCTGACAGATGGGAGCTTACCCTGCTCCCTGGATTCGAACCATACGACCTTTCGGTTAGCAGTCTTGCTGGCACAAAGGTTTAACCCATTGCACCATCAGGGGCTTTTTTATGCAGTGTTAACCAGAAGTTAACTTTGGGTTATTGATTAGGTGCTATAAAATTAAAAATGGAAGAGAAACATTTTGTAGTTGAGGTGTAATTTATACTGCATTTATACTATTGGCATTTTTAATAAATTGTGTTACACAGAGATACATTAATTATTTCACACACAACAACAACAACAATCCTATCTCATCAGCCAAAAGCAGATTATACTACTTCACATTACCTTTTAAAGGTCTGCACTCAAAGGATTTGCATGAAAGCACAAATCTGCTATGTAAACACAAAAGCATGTTTGCTAGTGTCTGTGTTGTACAGAGATGCTGGGAAACGGGGAGCTGTGGTTTGCTAGACACATAAATGCTTGCTAAGAACAAATTTTGTAGTATGTCATGTGATCTATAAAGATTTGACAATTTAAAACAGAAAGGTTGCAACTTTCCTGTGCAGGGGAATTAATAGAGATGTACAAAATTATGAATAGTGTGGAGAAGGTGGGTGGGAGAAGAAACTATGGTGACTAAATATCTAATCAAGGTTTTCAAAAAGACAAAAGCATTTATTTGCACATTGTCTAGTTGAACTATAGAATTTTCTACCTCAAGATGTGGTTATGGTGACCAAATATATCACTTTGCACGGAGAATAAAACAATCCATTTGGTATATAAAGGCCCAGGTTGGCCACTGCATGAGGACCAGGATCCAGTTTCCCCCTCAACTGTCTATGGACTCAATCTCCTAAAAAAGAAGCCCAAATATCTCCTTTTTCCTCTACAGTCTCTTACATCACTTCCCATCATCATTATGAGAAGGACTGCAAAGGAAACAATTATTATTATTATCATTTATTATCATTTATTATTATTATTATTATTATTTATCTAGGAATTGTGTGGGAGTTATAGAATAACATGAGATATTTTCATGTATTCTCACATGTTTGGGGACTCTCTGTGTTTTTTTGGAGGCAGAACATGTCTGGAAACCACCATGTTCTTTTTAAATGAAGAATTGAGGGATTAGAAAGTTTTGAGGGACACAAAAGTGTATGTAGCAATCCCGATATAGATTATGGCTACATACTCTTTCTAGGATCAGAAGCAGAGCATTCATAAATGTAAATCATTGGGGAACAACAAAAGAGAGGTGTTGTTGTCTTTTGTCTTCATGTGAGGCTCTCGTTGGCCACTTTAGGGAAACTGGATGCTGGACTGATCCAGCAAAGCTTTTCTGACATAAATGTTATTACATTGTAATCTGCCAGCTTTTAGGACTTATTTTGCCTACATAGGTATCCCAGTTTTGCTGAATTAAGAACTGTACTAAGCAAATCTCTTGAAATGGCCAAATAATTGGCAAAATGTCATTCATTGCCTCGTAGAATCTTTTTCTTTGCATTCTGTGTTCAAGAAGAGAATATAGTCTGTTCTTGATACTTAATATCATCTATAAGTCACACTAGAAAACAGCAATTAAAATGGGTTTGTCGTTCTTACCAGAGTCTCTTCTATCATTGTCTCCCACAGAGGATGAGCAGAGAGAAAAATCTGTATCCCATCATACTGTCCAGCAACTGATTATTGAAAAAGAGCAAGCATTATCGGATCTGAATTCTGTTGAAAAATCATTAGCAGATCTTTTTAGAAGATATGAAAAGATGAAAGAAGTCCTTGAGGGATTTAGGAAGGTAAGTCCCTGTGAAGAAATGCTTGTCACAACCAAGGATCCATCACAACCAAGACTTGTTCTATAGCAAGGGATTGAACTGTCTCTTCTAATTCTGATTCTGCTCTTCTAGGATTTTTCATTTAGCATAGGGACTGGTTGACATAAGTTTCTATGGAAAATTCTTAGATCTTTTTAGATCCTCAGTGCTTCTTAGATCAGTGCTCAATTGACCACAGTCATGTTTACAGTCTTGTTTAACGGTCTTGGGATTGCAACCACATATGGTCCATTGCAAGGGTTTCATTTGGCTTCAAAGCATGACCAAGGTTTTTTGACATTACACATTTATAGTGCTATTATTCTACTTTAGTTGCCATGGTTCCATCCTATGAAATCCTGGGAGTTGTAGTGCCCAGGCACTCAAACTCTCTAGATGAGATCTGTATGTTCCCCTCTCAAAACTTCCAATTCCAGAATCAAATAGGACACAACCTATGGGATTTAACTTGTAGTAATAGTGATATAACTGTGTAATATGAATACTTGAGGGATATCAGCAGCGACTACCTTCCAGTGGTTCTCAACCTGGGGTCCCCAGATGTTTTTGGCCTTCAACTCCCAGAAACCCTAACAGCTGGTAAACTGGCTAGGATTTCTGGGAGTTGTAGGCCATAAACATCTGGGGACCCCAGGTTGAGAACCACTGCTCTACTCAAGGTAGATAACTGTAGTGTACCAGTAATGGCAGCCTCCATACTCTAGTACAGTGCTTCTTAAACTTTTCCACTCACAACCCTTTTCAGCCTGAGGAATGTTTAAGTGACACTAGGTATACAGGTATATAAGATAAGTAGGAAAATAAAACATTTACCGATAACAAATCAGCTTTTGCAAGGCATGCTAAACAAGGTGATTTTTCTTTTTTATGAAGTATAGCTGAAGCATCTTCAGCAGAGTCCACTGTAAACACTGTACAACAGATTTATGTCAATGTCTAAAACAGCCAGTAGGTTACTGTTGTCAATTTTTTGGGAACCCAGCATTAATCTAAGAGGATCCCATTTGGTTTGGAACTCAGAATTTAAGAAGCAGTGGTCTAGTAGACTAGAACTGAATCTGTAATAGTGGGTTGTTGTAGGTTTTTTGGGTTGTATGGCCATGTTCTTGAAGCATTCTCTCCTGATGTTTTGCCTGCATCTGTGGCAAGCATCCTCAGAGGTTGTGAGGTTTGTTGGAAACTGGAAAATTGGGTTTATATATCTGTGGAAGGTCTAGGGTGGGAGAAAGAACTCTTGTCTGTTGGAGCTAGGTGTGAATGTTTCAATTGGCCACCTTGAATCTGTAATATATTATGTCCTATCCTGTATCAGAGTTTCAGGGTCAGATGGCTCATTAGTTGAGCAGCTTGTAAGCTGCCTCTGGTCATCTCCTGCTTGAGGTGGGCCTTAAGTGATTATATCGGAAGGATGAGCCAAAATAACTTCCTTAAACTAGTATTTTAATGTATTTTATATATGTTCTACTTTCCTAGGTGTGGATGCTGAAACTATAATTTCTGTAGAAGATGACAGTTACACAGCATGAATACCCAGATTCACTACAATAACTGTAGTGTTTTAAATATAAGTTAGATTTCTTTATTTCTTTCCTTTCCAGGTAGTGATCATATGTCTATATGTTTATAATATCAACGGCTAGGAGTTCTCATAATGTCAAGCAGCATACAAATATTATTTTAAAAATACAGAAATGTATTGCTAAAAATTTGAACAGCATAAATGCATCCCTTCCTCTTCTGGTAATTTATTCTACTTAATTTTTCCATTTAAGAATGAAGAAGTACTAAAGAAATGTGCACAAGAATATTTATCGCGAGTGAAGAAAGAGGAGCAGAGATACCAAGCTCTCAAAATTCATGCGGAGGAAAAACTAGACAGGTATTTAATTGCTCGGTGGGAGTTTGCACTCTCAGACAATAACCATAGGCTTCTGTATAATACATTCCCATCAGGGGGGCTTTGTGGATCACAAAGAAAAATTGTGCTAAAGTTAGAAACCTTGTTCCTTATGCTAATTGGCATGATCAAGTCAAGCATCTCTAGTCTATAATTCAGAAATCCAAAATTCAGTATCCCTTTAGAATGATAGAAATGCTCCTGTACATAGTTACGTTACAAACACTGCATAACTTTCATGCAGAATATCGACATAGCACAACATATGTCAGTGATTTGATGCCATTGCTTTAATGTGCCATTGCAAGTGCAAAGCACAATGTTGTCAGATGTGTCACTCTGCTTCTGCTGTTGTCAGCAGAAAATAACTGTTTCACTATGATGAGTAATTCACCCCACATCTGAAGCCCTACTTAATGCCAGTAACAGAACCCCAGTCTATACTTGGCAGCTTTGTAAAGGCACACTTCCACATCCAGTATCAACCAGTTTGGTACTTGACCCATGTGCTTGTGCCATTATGTCCTAAAATGCCCTAGTTTATCGTGCATTTCAGATAAAATAATGATTGCTTGTATGTTTGTTCCAGAAAAATATAATACACACATGCACACAAAAAATACAAGCAGCTGATAGCTCTCGAATCCAGCTTTCCTGAGAGTATGCTCCAAGCAGGCAAATTTCCCTCCTGCCCCTCATCCAAGTATTTTAATGCTATTACTAGACACCAAAAGCAAGACAATCTGTCCTTGGCGCTCACTCTGGTGATTGTATTTCCACAGAGCCAATGCTGAAATTGCACAAGTCCGTGGCAAGGCTCAGCAAGAACAAGCAGCTTACCAAGCCAGCCTGCGTAAAGAACAGCTGAAAGTGGATGCGTTGGAAAGAACACTGGAACAAAAGGTGACTCGTGAATTGTACCTTGAAGCTGCTTGTAGGGGGGTATCTTTGAGTCCTTGATTAAACACCATGGTTACTTGCCTGAAGCTAATCTGGAATGTTAGCATTCAGATTCATTCCTTAATTGGAGAACTATTTGTCTCCACATGCACATCTTAGTTCATGATCCAGCAGTCAAGCTTAGAATGAGTTAATATTCCAGTAACACCAGGATATCATTATAGTAAATTATGGAATGATGGTACCAGGTAAACTCTTTGAAGCTCCCAATCGTGAGACCAGAGAATAGTGAGCAGGCAAAGGAACAATTATGGTGAGTCCTACCTTTTGACATTAGTACAGTTGGCTGTTTCATCTCAGGATCCATTTCATGAATTCTTACTACTTGCTGTAAGCCTATTATCACGGATGTTAAGATCATCTGGGGAGGCTCTGTTCTCGGTCCCACCTCTGTCGCAGGTATGGTCGGTGGGGAAGGGAGACAGGGCCTTCTCAGTGGTGGCTCCTCAGCTTTGGAACTCCCTCCCCAGTGAGATTAGATCAGCGACCTCCCTCCTAACCATAAAAAGAGATCAAAGACATGGTTATGGGATCATGCCTTTGGCTAATAAATAATGCAGTACAAAAATAATTAAGGAACATGTGCAATGACAATTCGGAATGGCTATGATATACAATTTCTGGATAGTGTTTATACTAGGATGATTTTATGGTTTGTCTGAATGTTTGAATTTTATGTATGTCTTATGTATGTTTTAGTTGATTTTAAGTTCATAGTTATATGTAGAAATTAGTTATTATGATTTCTTTGTGTACTGTATGTTGGCACTAAATTTTAGTCATTAGTATGTTGTAAACCGGAGTCTCTGGTGTTACAGTGGGCTGAACTGCTGAGCTGCTGAACTTGCTGACTAAAAGGTTGCAGGTTCGAATCCAGGGTGCAGGATGAGCTCCCATTGTTAGCCTCAACTTCTGCCAACCTAGCAGTTCGTAAACATGCAAATGTAAATAGATCAATAGGTACCTCTTTGATGGGAAGGTAACGGCGCTCCATGCAGTCATGCCGGCCACATGACCTTGGAGGGGTCTACGGACAACGCCAGCTCTTACGCTTAGAAATAGAGATGAGCATCAACCCCCAGAGACTGGACTTGATGTCAGGGGAAAGCCTTTACCTTTACCCTATGTTATAAACCTCTTCAAGTCCCCCCAGGGGTGAGAAAGGTGGTATATTAATACAGTAAATAAATAAATAATAAAATATTATGAGTGTTAAGTGGAAGTTGTTAACAAGAGCTTTATTTTTAGAGGTGCTCCACATTGTGACCAGGATAGTTAGGTTGCACATCTACATTTTAGAATTAAATCAGTTTGACACCAGTTTAACTGCCATGGTTCAATGCTATGGAATCATGGGAGAAATAGGATTACATGGGCAAAGTTCAGCCCTCCAGGTGTTTTCAACTTCAACTCCCACAATTCTTAACAGCTGGTAGGCTGTTAGGAATTGTGGGTGTTGAAGTTCAAAACACCCGTAGGGCCAAAATTTGCTCATGCCTAGATTGCAGGGTCTTCAGCCTTATCTGCCAAGATGTTTCACCCAACTATAAATCTCATTATTCCATAGCACTGAGCCATGGCAATTAAGGTGGTGGCAAACTGCGTTAATTCTATAGAGTAGATGCACTGTATGTCTGGATCCAACTCAATGCACGTAACTTTGTTTAGTCAAACAACTGATTGGCATAGATCTCATTTTCTTAGAGGCAAGGTTTAGCTAAGTTCATTGTGTTTTTAAAAAAATCTGTTGAGTTCTCTTTTGACAAGTATAAAACCTTATAAAACTGTGGACTGTGTTCTGGATTTCTTAGCTCACACCCATCTTGTCATTGGCCCTCTGAACTGTCGGTGATCTCTAACAAAAGATTCAAGCATGTGATGGCAGCTGTTCAAAATTAAATGCATTTTACACTGACCAGTGTTTACTCTCTATTCTGTGTCTTCTTTTCCAGAATAAAGAAATAGAAGAACTGACAAAGATTTGTGATGAACTGATTGCCAAAATGGGGAAAAGCTAACTTTTAACCAAAATCCTGGAGTTCAACTTTGAGTGCAATATGACCACTGGCACACTGACGTCCACACTTCGATGTGAACAGGATTCTATTTTCACTTTTTTTGTATGCACTACTGTATTTTTTCCTTTCTAAATAATGTTGATTTGATTGTATGCAGTACTAAGAAGACTATCAGGATTTCTTGCTATTGTTTGCAATTTTTTCCTAGTTATAATCCATAGCAAGTTGGTCTCAAAAAGTTCCTGTATCAGGGAGATTTGTCCATTTCTTTAATAAAATCAAAGTTGCCCACCCTAGCCTTCCCTTTGTACATGAGTTCCCATGTTGGATGTCTTTTTTTGGATTTAATATAAATGTGTATTACTTGCATGGGGACTCTTGCCTTAAGGAGTGTAAATTTGATCTGCATTTACTGATTTGTAAAATAAAATGAAAATTTGAAAAGTTGAGATTCTTGCATTTTCCAATGCTTTCTGCTTTCCACTGTGGAAAAAATATGGCTTGGCTTCGTTTCATTGTTTGCTTGCATCTCCTTTTTCTTGGATGTTATCCCTTCAGAGGTTTGGCACTAGCAGAGCTCTCTTTAAATTCAGAGCAGCTGCAGGAAAGCCTTGGTAAAATACAGAGTGGATTCACCATCTCCATGGTAAAAAATTCACCCACTGCCCTTAGGGCATCTTAGCAACAGTATATAGCTATACAAGCTACCTATTTACACTAGAGAGGAAAACAGCTAGATGGTGTTTATGGCTATAGAAAACAGATTTCCTAATCAGATGGCTTTAATGATGCATTGTTGATGTTTTGATTTGCTACCAGGTTTCATTGGCTTACAGAGACTCTATAAATACAAGACTTCCTAAATCCCGTCATCAGCTGCCCTACCTATGTCTTGCAAACTCAAAGCCATGACTTCCTTGATTTAGTCTATCCACTTGTAGTGCATTTAGAATAACAGAATCATAGAGTTGGAAGAGATCTTTTGGGCCATCTAGTCCAACCCCCTGCCAAGAAGCAGAAAAATTGTTTTCAAAGCACCCCTGACAGATTGGCCATCCAATCTCTGTTTAAAAGCCTCCAAAGAATGATCATCCACCACAGACCTGGGCAGAGAGTTCCACTGCTGAACAGCTCTCCCAATTAGGAAGTTCTTCCTAAGGTTCAGGTGGAATCTCCTTTCCTGTAGTTTGAAGCCATTGTTCCACATCCTAGTCTCCAGGGCAGCAGAAAACAAGCTTTCTCACTCCTCCCTATGATTTCCCCTCACATATTTATACATGGCCATCATGTCTCCTCTCAGCCTTCTCTTCTGCTGGCTAAACATACACTGCTCTTTACCTCCTATTGCCTTCCATTTGACCAAGGGCCTCATCACACTAGAGAAAAAAATCCACTTAAAATCCGGTTTCTCCCTCCTGCAGAATTCTGGGGTTTATTTATTTATTTATTTAGAACATTTGTATCCCGTCCTATTCTTGACCTCCGAAGAGGGACTTGGGGCAGCTTTCAACAATATAAAAACACCAATAAAATGCACAATTACATAAAATGATAATAAATACACATTTAAAAACAGTTCGTTTGTAATTTAGGGAGGAACCTTTAACAGCCTCACTAAATTACAAACCCCAGAATTCTGCAGGAGGTAGAAACCAGATTTTAAGTGGATTTTTTTCTCTCTAGTGTGATGAAGTTTCAAGTGGTATCTTTTTCAATAGGTCATGTTAACTCATTCTACATCCAAAGTATAACAGTCTCGGTTTAGTCTCTTTTGCTTCTAGTGATAGTAATGACACATACTTAGCTTTAAGTGGATGATAATCCGTCAGCCGTGACAGCCAGCATGGTGTAGTAGTTTGAACATTGGACTACAACTGTGGAAACTAGAATTTGACTCTCCTCTCAGCCATGGATAATCTTGAATAAGTCACACTCTCTCAGCTCAGAACAAACGCTCTCTGAACAATTTTTGCCATGAAAACTCCATGATAGATTCACCTTAAGGTCATAGTAGGTCAGAAATGACTTGAAGGCAGACAACAGCAACAAAGTCCCTCAATCAGGGATTTGAAATTTCATGTAAAACAAGTGCCAAAATAGTAAAATTGGAGTTGCCGTTCAAACGGCACCTGGAAGGTGACACAATCCTCACTCTTGATCTAGGTGTACCATTATTCCTGATCTGCTCACTTTTACATTGGATGCAGCAATCCACAGGCGGCTTACAAGGACCCACATGAACTGAGCCTTCCCAGCCATTATATAAGGCTGATCTTCAGGAAAGGAATACTTGATTTTTTCAGGTTTCTTCCAATGTTTCCATGGGGATGCATATGTAGCAGTTTTCCTTTTCATTCATGCATTTTATTATCAATTAGTAGCACATCAAAATGAATTAGAACTAATTATTTAAGGCTTGTGCTGGGTATTTTTCAGACCGTGGAATGTACATGGGACAGATGGTTTTCAAAAAGCAATAAAGGGCATGTGGAATGATAACATTTGGAGTAAGCATGTTTATAAGTGTGGCGTTACTTTTTTATCCCTCATTTTCAAAAGACCAAAGTCGCTGATGTTATGCATTCAGAAAGATCCTCCTGAAATGAGGCTGAACATTTAGCCCCTTGAAGGATTAAGGGCCATGTTTAATCTGAAGTACTTGACATCTATGTCAAATGGTATCAGATGCCAATTGGCATCAAGTAGTTTTTCTTAAGTGATATATTTATTCATGTGCTTGAGATAGTTTCTTCTAGATGGCAATTTAGTGTGTTTTCTGAGAGTGTTGTAAATACGGGGAGGTACATCTGACGGGAAGGGTAGCCATAAAAAGCTAGATAAGTAGCATTCTACACACCTCTTTATCCTTTGCATCATCCCCTATAGAGGATTAGCTATGCTGAATAAGCATTAGAGGTTTAATGACAAACGGTTACTTTGTCTAATGATACATTTCTTGGCTCTGCATGATGAAGCCATTCACCAGCTTGGTCCTGCTCAGCTTGCTTTTCACCATCCAAAGTAAGTAATTTTGCTCCATTCTTTTTCGTTGTTGCAGGGTTAGCATATTTAATATTTAATCTTCTCGGTTGCTCATAATTCTATTGGTTTCATTAACAACAAACAACTGCTTAGCAAGGGAACCACCAACACTAGTTTTGGGGTTGCTTAATATACTAATGTTGGTGGTCAGTTCTTTAATTTGCTAGTTGGTTCTTAAATGTATATTATATTGATGTCTTCTAGTACATCCCCAAGATTCACAAGGGCTTCTTGAATTATCTTTTAAGTACATATTAACATTGAGAATGGCATGCCTTTTGATCAACTGTGGGCTTATCGGCCCCAAAAACTTTTACAACTTGCAGGAAATCTGCCTTTTATTTCCTGAATTTATCTCCATTACAATGATGGGAAAAAATGTTCAGCATATATTGTGGATTTGCCACATTATTTGCTCTGCTATTCGTTATATTCTCAGACAAGAACCAAATTCTTGGGATCTCTTCTGCCTTTTCTACAGTTCAATAATGTTTCAGAAAAGATTTTCTGTCTCATGTGTATTACTGATTCAATGATAACTTGCAAGGATTCTCTTTTTTGCCCCGGCGAAAATGAAAATTCAGGCAAAATCTATCACTGATATCCTAGTTGGTTGTTTTGGGGGTGCTGTTTGCTAATCTAATTTTAACTAAGCTAGATTTTATTGTTGTTTACACTTAATGTGTTGAACTGTATGTTAATCACATTGATTTTTTTAATATGCAAGATCTATATACCAATTATTTTATGTAGTACTTTTATATTTAACTTCTGTTTAATGTTTATTTTGTATGTGAATAGCCTATAGCCTAAGCATTCTTAAACATATCTCCACCAGATATACTGATGGAGATTCAAGCATTTAAATAATTAGGAAGTAATATTTCTATTTCTTTTGATTGACATTATTCTAACTAAGTTAAGGAAAACTGCATTTCTAGGATTTCCTGCAAGGTCTCTCTTTTGTTGGCAGGCAAAGAGGAAACAAAATTTCAAGCATATCAATGCTCTTAAATATAAAATGGAAACGGGAAAAACACAATATTAATAGGCTGGGCATACCTTTCTGCATTGGTATTCATATGATTGAAATACAATGAACTTAATTGGATTTTTAAAAAATGATCCTTTGGCAAAGTGTGTGTGTGTGTGTGTGCACGCGATGTAATTAAAATTGCCCTCCTTGTTAACATAAGATCTGAGATCATTTTCATTCTCTGCAAGAAGTAAGTCCTTCATTTGTTTTTGTTTTTAATGATAACAGGTGAAGCACTGCAATGCTATACGTGTGTAGGCATGAGTGATGAAGAATGTAACAGGCAAGGAACTGAGCATTGCCCAGGATATTCCGATGCCTGCGCAATCATCAAAGGACAGTCAAGTAAGTGGTTATATAACAGTAGTAATCCAAGACATCAGGTTGGCCACTTTAATATAAGGGCAGCTTTGAGAAGTCTTTGGGTGTGTGTGTGTATACACACACATACATATATAAATACATACACACACACACCTTCAAATTGTTTGTCAATTTATTGTGCCCTCATGAATTTTATAGGAGTTTCTTAAGCAAGGAATACTCAGAAGGTATTAAGCTTTTCCTTCCTCTGAAAATTGCCTACAGCACCTTGCATGGGTATGTGACTTCATCATCTGTTGATTTATGGTAACATCATGAATTTCATAGGGTTTTCTTAGCTAAAGGAATACTCAGAGATGGTTTGCCACTTCCTTCCCCTGAAATGTAGCCTACAGAACCTGATATTTATTGGTGTCTTCCATTTAAGTCTTAAACAGAGCTAACCCAGATTAGTTTCTAAGATCATACAGGATTTGGCCCCTTTATGGTCTTTATGGATGCTAGGTTTTTACTACCAGCTTTGTAAAAATAAAAACTTAGGTCAAAACATCTAGATGGAATGAACAGTATTTTATCATTAACACTCCTTTATTTTCATGTCAGGAGCGACTTGAGAAATTGCAAGTCACTTCTGGTGTGAGATAATTGGCCGTCTACAAGGGCGTTGCCCAGGGGATGCCCAGATGTTTTGATGTGAGAGGCTTCTCTCATGTCCCCACATGGGGAGCCAGAGCTGACAGAAAGAGCTCATCCGCCCTCTCCCTGGATTCAAACCTACAACCTGTCGGTCTTCAGTTCTGCTGGCACAGGGGTTTAACCCTGTGCCATCAACACTCCTGAAAATGAATGAATTAACACTCCTGATCATTCATTTCTCTATCTATTGTTGCATAGACAGTTACATTAACTGCTGAAATTTCAGTAGTTAACAAGTACTGAAAAAAATACATTCTTGCCCACATTTTGGAGACCACTTGTATGCTGAGTGTGATTTATGCCTTCTATTATTTTCCCTTATTTGAGGGGAGATATAAGCTGTTGTGTTAC